TAAGTTATAATCTATGTCGGCTACAACTACGTAACTCCTAAAAGAAAACCCTAAGTAATTAATAATACTCATTTAATTAAAATACACCATTGAGACAATTTAAATATTTAAGCAGTTCAATAATAAGCAAATAATTAATTAAAATACAACATTTAAACAATTCTATACAGTTAATTAAAATACAACATTTAAACAATTCAATACAGTTAATTAAAATCCAACATTTAAACAATTCAATGATAAACAAATAAGCAACCAATCACTCAAAAATGAAAAAAAAATAATAATTAAAATACCGAGACTATCCTTTTAAAATTAGGGGTATTACATTATTCTTAAGTTAGTTTAATTTAAATATACTGTTAGTTTTGATAGAGTTGTAATGCAAGTAAAATACTTGCATATAGGAGTTTGTTTTACGTATTATTTTTCTATAAATAATTGTGGAGGCATGCTGAGATAGGGTCCAGCACCCTCACAATCAATATATTATTTTATTTGCTTTCTCAAGCTCTTTCCCGAAATAGCATCCTTACTATTTCTCTTTCACTCTATCTCTCTCTCTATATTTCTTTCTATCTTTTTTCCTTCTAAGTCTATCTCTTCTATTCTCTATATCTCGCTCTATCTTTTTCTGTCTCTTCCTCTATCTTTCTTTTTATATCTATTTCTCCCTCTTTCTATTCTCTTCAAACTCTACTATAATTATTCACTGAAAAATCCTTTTAACTAAGACAATTAGAATCATGAAGGAGTTTTCCTGTTCTCTTTCTCCTATAATGGCCTGAGTCAAATTTCTCAAAGAGACTACAAATTGATCATACACAATTGAACCATATAATTGGTTCTGGCACGCCCGCGACATATTCAATTTAAGATCTCCGGCCGGGTCGATTTTAGGGTAAACAACAGGCAACAGTCCATTTAAATTGTGCACATACACTAAGGCTCAAAATTAATATGTTAAATGAAAGTATATTTTTTCTATTGAAAACTTCGTGGCACTCTTTTTTTCTAGTTCTTTGACTTTCATTTGTGCGAAGTGTGTGCATATGTACTTGTGTGTCGTGTGTGCGCGCTCGCACATATTTAACTGATTTTTGTAGGCAGTCCATTCTTTGGTTTGCATTCCACTTGAATAAATATTTTCGAACATCCTGGTTCCTGCAAGGCTTCTCCTAGCACAGACAGATTCTTGGTGTGCTGTTTGAAGTGTAATTTGGTACTTATTTCCTAACGTCTGAAAAATTCCGAGGACCTAATCGGTTAGGCATAACCTAGAATTACAAGGGAAACAGTTCTAGATAGGGAAATAGTTCTAGATTGGGTTGATTGTGATGCATTATGATGCTATTCTCAAAATGAAAAACTGCTTTCGATACAGATTCATACGTGCATACAAGTGTATAATATATAAATATAATATGATCAAAAGAATCAGTATTCAAGACTTACAAGGACTAGGAGGTTTCCGGAGAGAGAAACGAGAGGGAGGTAAGGTGTCCGAAAGCCGGAGAAACAGTTACCAAAAAATTAGCTGAAGGGCGGCATTTGGGCAGATTAAGCTTGTTGGAAATGTGATCTCTAGCTCAAGATTGTTGAGGGAAAGATCAATCATTTCCAGAGCCTGCAAGTTACATATCTCTCTGCTGGTATTGGACCACTCACAGAATTTCAATGAAGATCCAAACTTACCAATTCTGTCAAGTTACCAATCTCTGCTGGTATTGCACCAGAAAATTGGTTTGAATGCAGATGTAGTTGTGTAAGATTTTTGAGGCTTCCAAATCTTGCAGGGATCTTGGAGAGACGTGAGAAGTGCCAGTGAAGGAGATAACTCGCCTTCCATAGTAGTCTTCTGGATAGGACGAGCATCTATGGAAAATAAGCCTGGGAGATTGATCTCTGTCGCTCTACTGGTTGTGTCATCGCATGTAATGCCTTCCCATGCCCAGCAATTCCCGCCACCGCTTTGCTTCCACTTATTCAGCAGCCCTGAAGTGTCGGAGTGTATTCAATTCATGAAATCAATCAAGCCCTTCAGGTCACTTAGGCTACATGTCTTAAGCTTACGAATACCGTACTTTGCTTCTCCAACAGTAATGAGAGTGAGCATTGCAATAACCCATTGTGTCTGGACAGATCAATGAAGAAGATCACTCTCAGTGTAGAGACTTCAAACAAACAAGGATAAGACACTAGTGTTGCTCAAAAATCTGAGTTATGCCTTTTCTTCTTTACAGTTACTAGTCTATAAGACTATAACACACACTGACACACACACACACACACAAAATGATTCTGCAAAATTGATTGTTAATTAGAATTGTTATGTTGCAACTCTGTTTCCTCAATCCATTAACAGCAAACCTGGTTCATCAAAAGGTGTTTGGTGATGATCAATTGATAGATTATTGTTGTGGTTTTTTATGTACCTAAACAGAAGTTCCCCTTTTTTCTTCACTAATTAGGTCTGACTTTTGAGCCCTGTTTATCTTTGGGGAATTTCAAGAAGGATGTTACTATCATGACTATTGTTTAAACATGCATTATAAATAATCTAGTTTACTCGTATAGATTCCGATCATATCTTTCATTTTTTGAGTGGGGGTTGAGCATTTGAGCCCTTACTTAAGGGTAATATCATAAGTGACGCGTTTGCTTGAAGTTTCGAAAAGGAAAAAACAATAACAAGTACTGTTTACTCTACCAAGAATTATGCTTCATGCTGGAAGCAACCTGTCTGTTACACACACACACACACACATATATATATGTATATATATTCAAACATACCTCAATAATTCGTACTTAATTTGTTAAAAGAAGAACGTCCAGCAATCACAAGATTCCCAAATTGCTTCCAATACGATAGGTCTCAAATTGTTTTATTTTCTTATATATTATTAGTATAAGTTTATACTCATTCTAATTTTTATTTTATTTTATTAATGAATATAGAGATTTAATAGTGGGTTAAAAGATTTCTATCCTTTTCTCAAAATAGAGGTAATTCTAATTGAGGTATGTCCACAGAAGCAAGGAATTTATAAATTTTATTACAAAATAATAATCATAATAATAATTACATGATTTTTTTTTTATCAAGTAGCACTTAAAATGTCAAGATAATACAAGGGAAATCATAAAATTAAATTCTATGAGTTGCTTCATATTAGGTTTTGGATTATAGCTCGAGTCTTTGTCTAACAAAGAATTTATTAACAAAACATAACTCTACAATAGGAACCTAACATTTCAAACACTCACAGCATTAAACTCAATTTTTGATAAATTGAACTCAAAGCCTATGTGGCTTAAGAGAAAGTACTTTTCATTTTTCCATTTGGTACCATACATGATTCCCATGTCTACTTTGGAAACTGTGACTCACAGTTTCTAAAGTATTGTAACTCACAATTCTCAAAGTGGATGTCTCTTTTGGAACGGGACGGACAGAATAACATAAATCATGTATAAAAATTAGTAAAAGTTTACAAGTAATTGTATGAAAGTATCTAATTATTAAATACTCCATTATTTGCTTTGAATGAAGGGAAGAAAGAATATAAAGAGACGATAAAGGTTAAAAGAATAAAAAAGAGAACATGTAGTGAAAAAAATCAAAGACATGTTTAGTTCAGTTTTGCCAAAAAGTTTGTTCAAAACTTTTGAAAAAATAAAAATTAATTTACATAGTATTTTGTATTCATATCATTTCTAACTTGGTTTGTAGTAACCATTTTAAAGAAACTATCAACAAAACAAAATTTTGAAAATTTGTTTTTTTTTTTAACAAAAAGTTAATTTTAGAAGAAAGAAAAGAAAAGAAAAGTAGAAAAATTTCTGCTACAAAATTGAAAGACTTGGAACAGCTCCAACGCGACCCAGAAAAGGTGATTTTGGGTAGTTTCGCTATTGGATGCCTCCAATGGCGTTGCCAAAATTTGGGCCCCACACGCGTTTTTCTCTTGGTGAGGCACAGGCCTGCATGGTTTAAAAAAGTTTTGTTTTAAATTTTTTATTCTGTCCCAGAATAGTGTTTTAGCCCAAAACACTGTTCCTAAGGCTCTGTTTGCTTAAAAAAAAAAAAAAGGGGGGAAGAAAACAGATTCTTGACTTGTTTTGGTCTCTTTTTTTTTTTTTTTTCTTCCCTCAAAATAATTGAACCAAAGAGTCATTAAGGCACTATTTGGCTAACACAAACATTGCCTTAAAGGCTTTTTTTGGCAAAAAAAAAAGTTTTAAAAAAATAGAGAAAAGAGCTTTTTTTATAAAAATTTAGTTTTAAAAATATTCCTTTAGACATATAGCTATTTTAGGCACTGTTTGGTTGACCCAAATAGTGCCTTAACGGTTATATTGGCACAAAAACCAATTTTTTGAATTTATTTTTTTAAAAATAATTTTATATATATATATATATATATTTAAAAAAAAGCTTACAGTTTTCCTCTATAAATACATTAACCCGTACTATTATTTACCTCATATCCAACCCATTTTCTCTAGTCTTTAACCTACAACTACAACCATTAAGTCATTTTCTCAATCTCTTATTTATGTTTTTTACTCAAATTCAATTCCATGGACCCTACACCCCCATATGACAACTACCACTACAACAGTTTTGGCTTTTATCGGCGCTTAAAAATGCTGGTAAAAGCCTTAAAAAGCGCTCGCATAAGGTATTTACCAGCGCTTTTTCAAAAAGCGATGGCAAAGGGTATTTACCAATTTATTTTTATTTATTTATTATTATTATTTTTTTTTTGTTTTGGTTTATACCAGCGCTCTTACTTTATAAGAGCGCTGGTGATAACCAATTTATTTTCTTTTTCATATTTTTTTTTTATTTTTATTTTTTTGTTTTGTTTTGGGTTTTTTTTTTTCCCCTAAAGAAACCTATTTATAAAACATGTTTATAATTAAAAACAATTATCATCCAGATGTATACAAATGGATTTAGGCAACTACAAGTTAATATGCAAATATGAAAATACCATCCAAATTGCATGTCTACTAATAGATAATACTGTACTGAACACCAAGTTTTTACAAAAGAAGTATACACAATGAAAATAATTTTTCACAAAAATAGTGAACACAACCACAAGTTTCCTCAAAAGAATCCATCAAAATGTATTAGAAGTTTTCACATCAGCTAAGGAAATTCAAAAAGCACAACCACGACCCCATCTTCAAACTTTCTTTTTTCTAGCTTCAACTTCAAACTCTCTAAAACATTTCTTTAAGTTGCCTCTGAAAATGTAGTTTGCATGGAGAAACTATTCAAAGTAAACCATTGCAACTTACATCATCAATAGCTTTCCTTAGTGCTTTTACTTGCTCCCTTGAGACTGTCCTCACCTACAAATGCAAAATGGTAGGTTAGCAGGTTGTAAAAAGCCATAATTTACTGATATCAACTCATAAGTCATGATTCTATCTTAGTGCATAACCTTCTAACAAATTCATTGACAAACATCACAAAATTTTCCATCTTTGTAAATTTGAATACCATATTATTAAGAGGGGGAAAAAAAAAAAAAAAAAAAAAAAAAAAAAAAAAAAAAAAAAAAAAAAAATGGGATATGGGCCCTAAGAAGACAAAGCTCTGCAATAGTTATTATTATTATTATTATTTCTATTGCATGGTCACAAGAAACAAAGATTCTTTTTATAGTTAAAATTGATTGGAGAAGACAAAGCTCTACAATAAATATTTTTGCTACCATCTGATATATTCACAGAAGACCAGAAGGCATAGATTCTTTACACCATTTAAATTAACTGGACATGTTGGATGGCCCATATTCCTTGTAAGTTGTTATTTCCCTCTTAAATGAACAAAGGAAGAATCCAAATCTATTACTGACAAACACCATATGTATATTATATCCATTGCCCTCTATTTTATATCCAAGAACAGATCAATGTTTCCAAGAACAGATCAATTTAGTTGAGCAAATTAAGTACCTCAATGGAAGGCATGGTGACAGAGACGTGAAGATCCTTGCCGTTGTTAACGGCTTCCATCATGGTGATGCAGTGAGAGCTCTCCAAGTTCAGAGCCGAGTGTGGGATGGATTCACCTGCCACCCACAAGCTTATCAGATTGTATGCGAAATTAATCCACCATTACTATGCACATTTATGACCAGTAACTTTAAGGCAACATTTTTTTTTTCTTTATAGTTTTTTCCTGAATTCTTTAAAGGGACAATATGAATCAAGATAGAATAAGTAGTATTAAGTTGTTAATAGAAAAAAACTTGATGGAAATATGAACATAAAGACAAATAGTGCTTTCATTCACTTACATGTTGTGGATGAACAAGGAATGGTAGGTCAGGAGACGTTTGATGAAGACACTTTTCAGAAAAGTGATTTCTTCCACTGATAAAAACTTAAACAGATAACATGTAAAACCAAGACTATCCCCTGCCAGTAAGTACGCAAAATTTTGTATTAATAATCTATTAAGTTCATATATTTTGGCTTGGAGAGGGAAAAAAGGTAATGAAATTAAGCTAGCTGGGAATCAAAATAGAAATGGAAGAGGCAAATTATTGATGATGTCATTTGTGGAAAATGAAATAAAATTTGTAGCTGTCAAAATAGTTTACTCAGTTAACTGCCAAAAAAAAAGTTCAATATGATTTATATTACATGAACAGAAGGTGAGCAAATTAAATATCAATAGCTCCTATCTGTACATCATTAAGGAATAAGGATAATAAGATAGAGCCAAATCAAAAATTTAATGGAATATGTGTTTTAACTAAGAGTCATAACACTGGAGAAATAGAAAAACACATGAAAGATAGAATTAATGCATGTTGTCTCAATCAACAATCCTAACATGAAATAATTTTCCTGTGTACAAGAACAGTCACTACACTATCTTAATTACTATCTGGAATGCAAGGAAGGAAGACTTACAAAAATATAGACAACAAACTTCCCAAGAGTAGAAAGTAGCCCCCATAAGCACCACAAGTTCACACTTCAAAATCCAACTCAAAGCCCCCATTCTAGTTTGAAAACAAAAACATCAGAGAAACAAAAATTAAAAGGGGATCTAACTTGAAGTCCGGATGACTAAGTCGGTCAACTTCTCTTGCAGCTCAGATGGATCGATGCTCCTCCCATCATTCACCTGTGCACAAAATTAGGAATAACATAGTGTTGTTGCAAGAAAATGTACAATTAGAGAAAAAAAAAAAAAAAAAGAGCAAAAAAGGTGCAGCAAATCAATCAAAGGTCTAAAATTAGTCGCATTCAATTTAATGGTCTATCCTTCTTTCAAACAAATGATAGCAGAATATAGTACTAGTGTACCCCATAAGCCACGAGACACTTGAAACCTCTAAACACTATAAGAAAAATGCAAATCCTTTTAATCACTAATGGACTTGATCTGGTGTTCAAACCCTAGTAAGTAACCAATGACCTCAATTTGAAACCGTCACCTCCAAAGAAACTGTAACATGAAAGGGGAAAAAAATGAAATTACAACCAAAAAATCTGAAACTTGATAAGAAAATGCTTTTACATATAACAGCAACTGGCAACGGAAAAATCAAAATTTCATTATAAATGTCTCAAGCATATCAGCACAAGAAACAAAACATTTTATCACAATGCATAAGAAACATAACATTTTAATTTTCCACATGCACAATCAACTCTCAGTTGGCCATTAATTCTTCATAAAACTGCTAATTTACATAAGCGTGGCTTTCTTCAACAGAATGTCGAATTTGGTTCAATTTGAGATGGCTATAGTTTTCTGTTGACAAAGAGAAAAATAAAGTGACTTTAATTTCTTCCTGAAAATTAAATGAACTACTTATTTTGTAGGTAATACAAGAACCACTCCCAAGCACAAAAAATAAGAAAATTTCTGTTAAAAGAACTTGATAACTTCTGATTTAGAAATTATAACACCACAGTAGAGCATGGTTCTGAATAAAAACCCTTAATACATTAAAGGAATAAACATGATAAATTAACACAAAATGTTAAAAAGGATAATATTATATACACAATTAGAAATCCAAAGTTTTACAGATTCAAAATCAAAACAATTTTTTCCTAAAATTCCTGTGCATATCAAAACAATATATGTACATATACGTATATATGATCCAAAGTTTTACTTCCTTTACAAATTCAGAATACAAAATTTGAAGCACATAAATAGTTTGAGGAACTCAAAATTCTCACCCCCATTGGTCTTTGATTGTGTTGCTGCAACTGGAAGAACCTTTTCCGTCATATTGGAAGGAAGTGGAGGCATATTCAAATTTGTCTGCGTTGGCAACATCCGATACCGCGGAGCACTCACTCTACAAATAGAACACACATATATCACAATCTGACTTGGGCAATTTTCTGTAACTTCCTTTACATCTCTCATCAATCAAAGGGGGGAGCAGCCTTAATCAAATTATAAGAAAATTACTTAAAAAAATAAAATGTTAATCCAAACCTTCCAACAACCATAGCTTGGGTTTTGATGTAACTATCGATGATCTGGTCCCTGGCAGTGTCGTCTTCCTCATGTTTTTCTATCACAACAAGCCAGTGATTAATTAATTTAGAAAAAAAAAAAAAAAAAACAAACAAACAAAACCCATACATACAAGTTAGCAGTTGCAGAAAGAGAGGGGGGAAAGATTGTTGAGAGACAGCGGCTGAAGCTTGTGAATGGCGAACCCAAACTGGAACAGCAAGCGATGAAAACTAAAAGATATGGGTTTTGATTTTTTAAACAATCTGGCATATCAGATATGGGTTTTGATTATGGAATAGGTTTTGAACTTTTGATTCTTGCAGACAGATAGATAAACTGAAATATATGGGTTTTGAACTTCTGATTCTTATAGATTTTCTAGTTAGTAGTTGTAGAGAGAGAAGGGGGGGGGGGGGGGGCAAGTTCAGAGTTGAGAACGAGAATAGAGATGGAGGCGATTGGGGAGTTGCAGAGAAAAGGAGAGGGGGCAAGTTCAGAGTTAAGACCGAGAATAAAGATGGAGGCGAATGGGAGGCTGAAGAGAAACCTAGGGCTCGGATGAGATAAGGTTAGAAATAAATGGAAAATAAAAAAAATAAAAAAAATAAAAAAGTGAAATAATGTTAAAGCGCCAATTTTTCCAGCATTAAATTTCACACTTACCGGTGCTCTTTTTTTAAAGCACTGGTATTAGTTTACCTATACCAGTGCTTTTTAAAAGAGCGCTGGTATGATTGCACCTATACCAGCACTCTTTAAAAAAGCGTTGGTACCATTACACCTATACTAGCGCTTTTTAACAAATCGTTGGTACGATTGCACCTATACCAGTGCTCTTTTAAAGAGCGCTGGTAAAACTCTAATATGGTGTAGTGTACAACTCCCAATTAACTAATCAAATGATAATTTTGATCCCTTCTTATTTTTTGGAGATGAATCTCAATTTGTGGGCGAATAATCTCAATTTTCATCTCATTAACCTTCTCAAGTTTCTAACATTCCTACTAAAGTGCCACAATCCAGTAACTACCAACCTCCCAGAAAGCAAAGGGCTACAGCCTCCTAATTAGTCCACGGTTGAAGATGAAGCTTTATGTTATGCATGGATGGCCATTAGCACTGAAGTGGTCATCGGTTTAGACCAACAAAAGATAGCGTTATGGATTCGAATTCAAGAAAGTTTTAAGCAACACATTAGTGATGCTAGTACATCTAAAAGAAATCACATCGCCTGCTTGAATCGTTGTTCCTTCATGCAACAAATGATTACCAAATTTTTTGAATGCATGACCCAGATTGAAAAGAATTACCCCAGTGGGCAAGACAATGAGTACAAGGTAAGTTATTTATTATATTAAATTTAATTGGTAGATATTTTAAAGATTTGTCTTCTAATAATTATTGATTTTTATTTTTTAGATGATAGTAGCCAAAAAGTTGTTTGCTCGTTAAAATAACACCAAAATTGAGTTTGACAGTTGTTGGAACATTTTGAAGAGCAACAATAAGTGGCATTTACATTGTCAAAAAGAATTGACATCCAAAAAAAAAAAAAAAACAGTCGAAGAAGAGGAGTGGAATCCACATTGATGATAGTGAGCCTATTGGTCATTCAAACCCATATAGTCCATCAAGTAATGTAGCAACGACACCAAGTTTGGTTGAAGGATCGACACACATAGGCGAAAATGATCCTACAGATGTTAAAGAATGTCAGCAACCAGAAGGATGAAAAGCAGCGATGCAGAGGCAAAATAAAGATAAAAGACAATCTGAAAGTCAGAATGATTTCATTAGCAAATTCAATCATGCAACAGCCCTTTATCAAAGACAATCTGAAACTCTTGAGGCCGCTCAAATAGCACGAGAGGCACGCAAAGCAGATAAAGAAAAGACCAGACAACTCGAGCTTCAAAGCAAACTAAGAGAGATTGAAAACAAACAAGGAGCTGAAGAGATGTTAATCATGCAAAAAGATCCAGAATCGATGCCAACACAAGCGGGGAATGCATGGCTAATTGAAAGCCAAAATGAAATATTAGCATATATACGCTAATATATAGTTGTTATGTTTTTAATTCCATGTCATATTGTATTGTTTCTTTATTTTTATTGTATTATTTAAATTTGTATTGTTTAAATTTATGTTGTATCGTATTATTTTTAATAATAAATATTGTATTGTTTAAATATTTTGTATGATATATCCGTTTTAAAAATATAGCCGTTAGGAAAAAGTTAAAAAATAAAATTTATTAAAGATTTAAAAAATATTAAAATATTAATATTTTTGGAGAGCGAAAATGTACCATTGGAGTACATCTGATAGCTAAAATTTGGAAACTCCAAAATGCTGACGTGGCTATGAAAAATACTAACGTGACTATTGAAAAAAGCTGATGTGGCAAATTCGGAGAGCCCATTGGAGATGCTTTTAAAAGATTATCCATTTTCCCATATTGGGACTTCAATCTTTACCATCTAATTTTAGAGGTTGATGAAATATCATTAGACCACCGAGCTTATTTTATTATTGTAATAACAGTTTTTTATTTTTAAATAACTAAAGCGTAAAAAAATACTGTAGTTCAAAATTTTCGTACTTATTAGTTTGAGGACTTAAATCATAAAACCCTTAATACTATCATTTTTTTAATTATAAAACCTTTGTAAACACTCTAATACTTCTAGTCTTTTATTTTTTAACATATGATAATTTAAACATTTAATAAATTCTTAACGGTTCATTAATAGAATTAGAGCAAAAAAATAACTTTATAGTACAAATAAGTTATAGTTTTACTATACAAAAATGATGGTAATTGAAGTTTTATGATTTAAGCCTTTATTTTGATAATAAATTATTCAAACTCGGAATATCATTGTCATCGTATCAGAATCAAATCAGCAAAATCCTACAACTCCAGTACCAACCCTCTTTTTTGACTAGTACCAAACCCGCTTTTTGACGAAAGCTGCTTTTTAGGGCATATCATTTCAGCCCTCCCCAATCACCTTCATCTATCTCCATTCTCGTTCTCAACTCTGAACTTGCCCTCTCTCTCTCTCTGCAACTGCAAACTACAAAATCTATAATAATCAGAAGTTCAAAACCCATATATTTAAGTTTATGTATCCGAATCAAAAGTTCAAAACCTATTACCTATATCAAAACCCTCGTATCGGCATATCATTTGAGATTGTTCAAAAAATCGAAACCCATATCTTTCAGTTTCCATCGCCCACTGCCCCAGTTCGGGTTCGCCGTCGCTAGCTTCAGCCGCTGTCTCTCAACTCTCAAGCTTCAGCCGCTGGCCCGCTATCTCTCAACTCTCAAGCTTGCCCCCTTCTCTTTCTACAACTGCTAACTTGTATGTATGGGTTTTTGTAATGACCCGGTCTTTTTTCTTCCTTTCCCTTTTCTCGGATTTTGACGGATATTTTTTTTTCGTTGATCTTTTCCTTTCTGAGTTTAGTTTCTCGTCGCTTAGTGTTGTTTCGAGTGCTCTGGAGTGATTTTTGAGACTCTTTTCTTTGGATTGACAACTTTCTTTGAGGACCGAGTCAATTCCACATTTTTCGTTTTTCGACATTATTCACTTTCGTCCTTTTCCCTATTTCGTCATTTTCCCTATTTTGTCTTTTCCTCGTGTGCTACCTTGTTGCATAACCTCACTTCTTGTGTTTGGAGTTGGTTTTTGACTTCATATATCTTCATTCACATATCTTCATTCTAAGTGGTTTCCACGAAATACGTATCTTTACTTTTGCAGTAAAGTACTCTGGTTGCTCCCAATATCCATAGGGGCATGGATGTATAGTTCTTTGGAAACTTTTTCTTTTCTTAGGGTGTTTTTCATAAATATCTTTTGAAGATACTTTATTTCAGGGGTTTTTAAGAAAATATTTTTTGAAAGATATTTTCATTCTAAGCCAATGGTGCAGTTTTCATTTTTTAGAGGGGCCATTGTGCAATTAATGAAAGTTATTGCTAAATACCTTATTTTGAGCCTGGATCCTCGTATGGAATTCCTTTTCACTTTTCATCAAGTCACGTACTCTTAGAATTTTCTCCTGGTCAATGTTTCCCAGTTTTAGGGTTTTTAGCCCCAGCTTGTTTGGGGCATAACTTTCTGCTCGGGACTTAGTTTTCGATGCCGTTTCTTCCGTTGTTTATATTTTCTTATTTTAAATTTTTTCGTTCATGGAGTTTCACTGTTTGAGTGCATATGCTCAAATTCCACTTTTCCAGACTCGGCGGGGGCTGTCCGGGGCACTTTTTGAGATTTTCTATAAATAGGGGACTTAAAGTTAAAAAACCAGATTTTTTTTTCTCTCTCTCTCCTCTCTCTTGGCTGGATTCAATGGCAGCCATGGGCTGCCACCACCTCTCTCCTCTTTTGAACTTCTTCCCTTTGTTAAAATATCATCATGCCTTTATGTTTATTGCTCGTCTTGACGACGCGCATCTTTCACCCTTATTAGAACCCGTTTTTGGCCAATTATTAAGTTCGGGTTTGAGGCCAAGTTAGGATTTTGGTAGGTCCTCTTTGGAGTTTAATGTTCACGGCGTTGTCCCCGACAAAACCCTGAAGTATCGTCAGATTCGAAGCCATTTCATTTTGGTGGCTTTTGAGATTTTCATCTCAAATTGAGGTAGGGGATATTTTAGGATTATGTATGTGTTGTATTGAGTGTTTCCCATGATTATAAACTTGGTTGTATGCCTTGTATCAAATCTAGAAAGTTAGTAATATTTATTTCTTTGTATGAGATTTAAATTACAAGGATGTATATAGTTTAGATTTGAATTGTGACATGATGATAAATTAGGCTTTAATATGTTTGTTAACATATATTAAATTGGGATTATTTGAATAAGAATTGCACTTTTTATTTAATATTTTTCTTTTGTGAAAGATTAATTCCCATGGTCGTACCTTGCATGAAATGAACTTGTGATATGCTTTTAAATTAAGTCTTTGCATGTTCTTTAACATACTTTAATTTGAGAGCATTTGGATAAGTATGAAAATCTAGAGATTTTAATTAAAATGATTAATTAAAATTTATTTAATGATTCTAGTGGCCTAATTAAGTTTTTAACTTGATA